CCCCTCCCTCGGCGATAACAAACCCCACCCCTCGGCCACCACGTAACGCGCTGTCCCGATCAGCAGGTCAGTAATCCCCCGCAGCCGTGCGCCCGCCCGCCAGGCAGGCCCAGGGCCGGCAGGCCCGCCACACCTCCCTGCGCCGCCGCGGGCACCGCTCTGACACCGGGGGGAGGAATGTATATCGGGAACAGGAAAACTTGTCCATTAAACTGCAATTTAAGAAATTGTGAATTTACAAGCACTTGCGTATCTACTTGAAATTCATATACGAGCAAGAATGCGATGTTGTACATGTACAAATTTGCTAACATAAGTTAACACAGTTGGTAAATAGTAAATTACGAAATATAGTGTGCATCAGCGAACATATTTTTTTTATTGAGAGTCTCACACTGCACTAGAAAAACAGAGGCACTAAACAACACCTTTCCCGGGGCACTAAACGTCAAGGGCTTTTCTGAGGCACTAAAGTTTCGTGCCTTTCTAAAGGTAAAAGGTCACATTTAGTGCCTTTTAAAAGTAGGTCTTTGTTTTTCTAGTGCGTTTGGTGTGAGGTATTTTGCCTCACACCATTTAGTGTGAGACTGCCTCACATCTGTGTTTCCAGAGTACACTTCTTTCGACCCACGCAATAAGCGATTCCACCGACGGGACAAGGCGCGGCCTGTCGCTCAGGCAGGATGCCGATGTGGCGCTCTCACGGGCGAGAAGTGGAGGGAAACGGAAAACCACAACAGCCGAACCGGGGTCATAAGTACAGTGCTCGGATCCCTTTAATCTGCACGGTCTCTCTCTCTCTCTCTCTCTCTCTCTCTCTCTCTCTCTCTCTCTCTCTCTCTCTCTAACAAATCACGAGCGGCGCTGACGTCTTTGTCGGTGAGGTTGGTAACCTGCGGGCGCGCACAGCACAGCGGTAGCGTGCCGCCTTCGAATGCAGATTACAACCGCACCGTGGCGGCCCGGCCCCGGCCGGGCGGACACTAAGGGGGTCTAGGGCGGGGCGGAGCGCGGCGCGCGTGCACGGCGGTAACGGGGCTAAAGGAGGCGGGTAAGCAGGCATGCATGCCACCGAGAGCGGCGCACGGGGCGCTAGAAGGTCACACCCCCTCCGGGGAGGGGCGGCAAAGAGGAATTTGATACGTTTGTCACTTTCTTTGAGCAACTCCAGCGACGGCGCGGCATCCAGCAGCAGCACCCCGGCCGAACACCCCCTCGCGCTAGGGCCGTCAAACTTCTGGGGGCTGTTACCAACTCTTTCTTCCCTCTCTTCCTCTCTCGCTCCGTCTTCCTTTTTCTTCTCTCGCTCGCCCGACGACGCCCCCCTTGCTCTCGCACTCTCTCGCGCCAGCTCTTTTGGAAAATCCCCCTGCAATCTCATGTTTGTTGCCGAGTGATGGATCCTCATGCGGTCGGCACGGGGGGTGAGAAGGAGCCAGCCGTGAACATGGATCCCGTTTGTCTTCCAACACACGCACACACACACATTCACACACCGCCGAAAATAGACATGCAAATAAGGAAAACGAGTTTATGAAAATACACCAACAGCGTTTTTGAGAATTCTATGAATACCAACAGCCGGAGGATCTCTTCTTGATAAAGTAAAGAAGCGCAATCAGCGACAGGGCGGCATTGACACGCACAGGCGCAGGGGCTGGAGGAAAATGGAGTTGCAAATGGACTTTACCTATGAATTGGTAAACCGAGAGCGCCACTGAGTTTGGCCCCCGCGACGACAGAAAAGGGAGAAGAATAAGGAGGAGAACGGTCTTTAAATTTTCACCAGTTCTCCAAAGGATGGAAATCCGCTGCGACTCCAGCGGCCGGAAAAGCGAACTAGCGGAACAGCGCAGCGACGCCACGCAGCTCTCCCCCATGAATGCTGCATTCAACTACGGCCGTTTCGACGACCCCCGGATGGCGTCCTCGTGGCCTCCAAAAGCACCCCACCACCACCACCACCATCTCCTCCTCCTCCTCCTCCTCGCCACTTGACATGTCCTTTAGTTTGTTGCCCGTAAAACAGAATGCTCCCCGAGGTATTTAAAAGTCAGGGCGCATGCATCGTAAGACCTCGCGGCACGCCGCGCCCCAGCCCGAGCGGCGTGCCGCTGGTGCTCACTAAGCGAGAGTACTCGGCAGGAAATGCGGTTTTAAAAATGAAGAGGGTAGGTGAGCGTGATGGGGGAGGGGGCGCGGAGGATTGAGGGGTTTACGCGTGTAAACCCCCGCCGCCCCAACGACCAGGCATCCCCTCCTTTTTCCAGCAGGCAGGAGCTGAAACAGCCTGCGCCGCGGCCCCGCAGCTCCGCGCAGCGCACGCCCGCGGGTTTAAACATCAAGTCCGCCCCCTTTGGCCCCTGCGGCCCCCGCGGCCCTTTAGGCGGGCATAAACCACTCACTCATTTCCAATGTGCGTAACAGTCGAGGGCCGCCCATGTGACGGGCGCGCGCAACTCCCGGGCGGCTTGGATCGGAGCGTGGCAGGTTGTGAAGATATGAGGGCCCACAGAGAAGAAACGCTGCTCAAAAAAACACGCGAACACTCTCTTGTTCTGAAAACATTGTGCCATCGATGCCGATTGCGGGAGAATTGAAAATGCACATCTTTAAAACGAGATTTTACGTACACGAACAAATGTTCTCAAATCTAACTGATGCAAAAATTATTGCTTGAATCAAGTAACCTGTTGCAAGAATTGCACTTAATCCAAGCACTGCCTGATCAAGACGAACATATTATTGCCAGTAGAGATCAAATGTTTCGTCTAATGAAATGACTTTTCTAGCTTGGTGCAGAGAAACAACTCCTTGTTAAGTGTCAATGTACTTGCCATGCCGCATCACTGCTCGTTATTGTTACTATTCACATGGAAATAATGACCACTAGAACGGTCGTTGTAACGCTTCTCTAAAATGATGAAAACATTTCCAGCGTGATAACTTGAGGCCGATGGCGTTGTGGCGCGGAATGGCGCGAGACGTTGCCCGCAGCTGCTGGGGCCGTAAGGCGGCGTCGGTGGCGGGTTATGTGGGAGGGGAGGAGGGAGAGAGAGGGGGAGGGAAGGGCACGGAGGAGAGAGAGACAGAGGGGAGGGAGACACGTAGTAGGGTGGGTCACGGCGAT